GACAAATATAATTTCATTCCTAATCTTAGTATAGTCAAGTCAGTTTTATATAAATTTTCTGTTATTTAGTTGTATTTTTATGTGCAATAGAACAGTGGAACAGGGAAAGGAGTACTGAACTAGGAGTTAGAAGGGCTGCCCACCTGTTCTGGTTTCCTAGTGCTCCTCTGACAGGAATATACCACAAATGGGATGGCTGAACAAACAGCAGTTTATTCTCTTACATTTTGGAGGCTTTAAGTCTAAGTTCAAAGTGCCAGGCTTTAGGGGCTGGGTGAAAGCCCTTCAACCTTGGGCTTCAGCTCTGCCTCCTGCTCCCGGCCCACTGAAGCTGGAGGTTTTTCTTCACTCAGCTGCTGCCTGCTGAGGCTGACAAGCCCAAGGTTGACAAGTAACAAAGCACAGTCTCAATATTACCAAACTGCATGGCAGGTTATTAATTCAAGTCCATTAAAACTCCCAAGATTGGTAGAGCATGGCCCGCAGCTGAACAATGACACGGGTACATGCAGGCTTCAAGTGTACCATACACTAGAGACCATTCCCAAAGCTGTTTCTTATATAAGGGAAGCAGACCACATATCTAAAGCAGCTACTCAGCTGCTTGTGGTAGATCCCACTATGGACTTGATTGCCAGTCTCATTATGAGGAATAACTACCACCAGCTCCCCAGCCAAGTTGACACACAAACATAACCACCACACCACCTCTTCTATGATTTGCTTATTGGCCTTAGGACAGTCCTTTAACTCTCTGACCTTTATCTGCAAAATGATAACCTAAAGAAGCTCTTCTGGCTGTCAAATTCTGTGTTAGATTTGATTATGTCTTCCCATTTTTAAGAATGAGAAACATCATTTATGATTTTAAATGACAATGGCTATTTACATATATAATATGTAACCCTGCTTTTATGATACGTTTTTGAAGGTATCTGTGATTTGTTGCATTCTTTGCTCAGGAATGCAGTCCCCAGTTATCATATTGTTCCTGTGGAAGAGTACCATCTGCTTCACAGTGTCTTTTATTAAATATGATTTCCATGAATAGAAAAAATAGGGATTGCCTCTATTTATGTGTGTGTGTGTATATATACCTGTGATTGTGTGTACAATCAAATATTTTTGTTAAGAGGCTGTCATCCCATTAAGTGTAGTACAAATGGTTCCCCTCCTTAGTAGCACTATGCCTAGTACCCCCACACCTCTCTCCTATGCCCACTGCCCCCACAGAACCTGCTCCTTCCTTTGTACTCTCATAAGAATGTCCTCATCCCTGTGGCTTAGCCTTAGCATAGTGTTGACTTCAACATGTCTTATGTGTCTGTTTCCTCCACTAGACTAGGAGCTTTTTAAGAGCTGGGACCATGTTCTAATCATACCTATATCTTTGGTGTCTAAGTTGAGAAAGAATTTTTTTAAAGTAATGTATGGATGGATGAATAACAGAAGAAAGGAAGAATGGGGAGATGAAAAAATGCAAAAAGGTAAGGAGGTAGGAAGAACGGACGAATTTGGCTTCCCTATGTTATTATCCTAGTCATCATTATCAAGTATGGTTGTGGTTAGCAAGTATAATAATAATAATATAGCAATAAGTTTCTAATGCAGATACAATTGACTAGACTACCTTGACTAATGTCAGTGTTAACATCCTTTACTCTACCCACATTCATGCTAATACTAACTGCCGTCGAGTCAGATCCGACTCATAGCAACCCCTCCTTGGGTCCCAGGCAGTATCACTACAGAAGTAGATTGCCCCATCTTCCTTCCAAGGAGTGGCTGGTGGATTTGAACTGCCAGCCTTATGGTTAGCAGTCAAGTGCCTTAGGCACTACTCTACCGTAGGTACTTAATAAACCCTTGTTGAATGAATGAATGAACAAATGAATGAATGGACAAACAAACATCCACTTAAAAGAACATAAAAGTAAATTGGAATTAACAGTATATTTTCTCAGGGAATAAAATTTTTTTTAAATGAGAAATGTTGTTCTTCGATAAATAAATACCCAATCATGAAATGTTTACAAAAAATCTCTGTGCCTGATTGTTTTAGTCTTTCAGCTAGACTATCAGAGGTTGATCTTTTTGGAGTCTTATTCTTCTTAGATGTCATTAATAGACATTCTTGCCAAAGCTCTTCCTTACTGAAATGGAGTTCATGTAAGAGCTGTAAATCAGATGGACTTTATGCCAAGAAAGATTTAAAGATAGCTCCAGCTGTGAACCCTACACGGCTGCATGAGCTCAGTCAAATTAGTTCCCCTCTCTGAGGCTCAGCTTCTTCTTCTGTAAAATGCAAAAGTTGATCTGATGATTTCTCGTAGGGATGTCATGGATGTTCATTCATTCAGTCTACAAAGATTTGTTGAGTTCCTACTATGTGCCAGGCACAGTTCTGTCCCTGGGAGTTCAATGATGTGCAGAATCAGACAGTCTCTCTGCCCTGGTGCTTAGATGCTGGCTGGGAGAGGCAGGCCTTAATCAAGTTGCCACACAAATGTATAATCACAGCCTTGGTAAATGCTATGAAGGACTGATGGAGCACATGGGGTGGTCAGAGCCCATAAGGGGATTTATTTTGGCCAAGCAAGGAAGTCACAAAGGACCTGGGTACATGAAGGACCTTCTTGCAAAGTGCTGGAAAATGTGAGTTATGAAGGAGAGGGGTGGGCTCTGGAGGATAGGAGGCTCTGGCTTCTAATCCCAGAGCGGTTCCATGACATCTCTCTGCATCTCAGTTTCCTCATCTATAAAAATTGAGACTAATATCAGGAGCCTTTTGCGGTGGTGTGAGGTTTCAGAGGGATGAGTCCCATGCTGGCAACTGCCATTTTCATACCATGTCTGAGAATAACTTTGATCATAGGTTTTTAGCTGTGAAGAAAGAGTGATGAAAACAGCTGTCTTAGGTTCTTAGGATTACTGTATCAAAGATGCTTTTAAGAACAGAAATTTATTTTCTCATAGTTCAGGAGGCTAGAAGTCTAAATTCAGGCCACAAGCTCTAGGGGAAAGTCCTTCCTGGTCTTAACCCTGGCATTCCTTGGCATTTCTTGCCTTGTAGGCAATTTCTCACATGAACTTTTTCTCACTGTCTGTCTCTGTGTTGTCTGTTTTTTCTTTTTGAAAGACACCACTCAGAAGGGTTTAGGACCCAGCCTACTCCTATGTGACCTAATTCCTATATGACCAAAGGAAAACTCTATTTCAGTCATTATTTACAGGTACAGGAATTAGGGTTTTAACATACCATTTTGGGAGTATAATCTAATCGATAACAACAGCTTTGAGACTTCTTTTTTAAAAATCTTCATTTGCCTTCTGCCTTGGACTAAAACTTGGCTCTTTGAGAGGTACCTGGCTTCCTATAATCATGGAGCCTGGCTTAAATTATTTGACTTTGCTGCATGATTAAGTGGCAGAGGCACAAGCTTCGGGGGCTGATAGGAGCTTCCATGTCACTGGCCTATTCTTTTGCTATTAATACATGAGTAAAAGTGGCCAATGACATGGAAACAAAACTTGAATGAGGGAGCCCCTCACCATCCCATGGTACCATATTCTCTGAGGAGCTTGGATACTTGTGAAGGCTAATACAATTCTTTCTCAAGTTAAAGTGAGCTTAGCTTTCTCTCTCTTCTAACTCCTCAAGGCCTAAGGAGTACTCCTTTAATCTTAGAAAAGCAAACAGGAGGACAGAAATAACCCATCAATTGTTTAAAATTAAAATGGCCAACAATAATAAATAATTGCCACAATAGCTTGAGTTCAGGGTCTTAATTTATTGGAAGCTATTCAAGAATTTGAAACTCTTCTGTAAGCTAATTTTTCACATCTTGTTTGGATCCTCAGAGCTCTTGCTTCCAAAGCAAGGCCATCAGAATTCTCATCACACATGTTATTCTTGTTGACGTGCCAGACATCAAGGAAAGTGAGGTCTGTTCTTCATGGATGGGTAGTGACGATGATTTCTGTTCAAAATATCCTGATTTCAAAGTATTGTAGCCTATTGAGATTTTGGATAGTTCTCTTCCCTTTCATGCTATGTTAGCTGAATTAATGGTTGCAAACAACCAAAACATAGTCTGGTTAATTTAAGCAGAAAAGGAATTTATTGGAAGGATATGGGCTAGTCTATAGCATAGGCAGGAAGGCTTGAGAATCAGTGCAGGCAGGAAATGGGGGAGGCAAGACTCAGCCCAGAATGCCACCCGTAGGCTCTCAACTCCCTTGCAGCCAGCTCAGGTGATCTTACATGGTCCCAGTGCCCTTGTGTCACCTTCAAAATTCATGTCTGTACTATGTCTGCTCACTGTACTATGGCCACATGATCACCCTTACATTACAAGACTGCACTTGGTTAGATGCCCACAATTAAGTGACCAGGAAGAGGAGAGAGGGAAGGTCTTCCCCTTTTCTGCTGATATGCCCCTGGCACCTGTCTTGGAATTCCCCTAAATCAGTAAAGACACCAGAATGCTGAGGAACCAAATATAACAGCTGTCCATTTCAGAATCCCTCCTATGTTTAATCACATTTTACTTTACAGTAACTAGTTGACTACTTAAAGATTGACTACTGATAGAAATTTATTTTGTCTGTAGCTAACATCACGTAAGTATTATCATCAAGCTCATGTGTCTCTTCATCATCCTAATCCCCATCATCACCATCTCTAACCCACTCTCTTGAGCACTACCTTCTCATTCCATCTCCTTGTCCCTCATGCATTGACCCTCCTTGTCTTCCCTCTCCCAGTTTTTGTTCCTGCTCCTATTTCATTATAAAAACAGAAGCAATCACAAGGGAACATCTATACTCCATGGGAGTTAACTGATGGCCCAAGAGTATGTAGCTGGTTCATGGGGATCCTGGGACTTGTTCAGATCCCAGTGAAGTTTCTGCCCTCCACCTCTAATTATTCCTTCATGCCTCAAATTGTATTAGTGTTAAGCTTTAGTGCATTAATTGCTGTTTAATTTCTATTGCAGCACTGATGAGAAAACTCCATATCTAGCTTTGGGGGCTGTGAAGAATATTTCCTTAAACATCTCCATCTCCAACCTCGGGGATGATGCTTATGATGCCAATGTGTCCTTCAATGTTTCCCGGGAGCTCTTCTTTATCAACATGTGGCAGAAGGTAAGGAGGCCACCCCTTTGTTCCATCTAGTGCACTTGCTGATTAAGAGATCAGGCTTTAATTATAGGTTAGAATATGCTATGATTCTGCAAAGACTATTTCTTTATGTAGAGTACTATTTGGAATTATTAGAAGTTTTCCCTCCTGAACTCATAATATGTTGGTACAGTGACGGAAGAAGCCATAAATACCAACTGAGAGAGCAGTATCTTTATCTTACATTGTCTTCCACCTCTTCTGACTTGTTGAACTCTCTTCCTACAGTTTTACGTCTGTCTCCAGCACACAGTTTTAGGTCAGTAGTCATTACTGTCAAAACAAGATAAGACATCAAGACAGACCACTACTTATCATGGTTGTTATCATCAGTGACGCACTTGATGTCCATTCCAGGGTCATGTACTTCCGCCTATACTTAAGCATATTTATTTATTTATGATATATTTGAGTGAATTAAGTAATTATTATTAATATGAATTGAATGAACATTTTTAGAGTATGTTAATTTCTTTGAATGAGATGAAGCTTAGCATGACTCTGAAAGGAAAAAAAGAACTGGTTATCTTCTCCTCTCCTACTCCCACAATATCCTTCAATCTTCCTTTGGGAAGGAAGAGGAGAAGGCTTCCCCATCAGAAATAAGGAGGAATAAGTGGACTCAACTAGATTTTATTGTACCTGTTAGTTGATCTGACTACTGACAGTTATTCAGCTTTTTAAAGTGTTTACAGCACTGAACCTACAGTGCCTTACAGTGAACTCAACATCATTTTCTGAGGAAAACCTCTGCTCTGCCCACAGATGAGCCCTTGGCACACCTTCTAGCAGGTGTGTGACCTTTTGATGAGGTGCATGTCCTGAAAGGCCATGCAGTTTTAGCAGGATTATGCCAACCCTGTCAAGCTTAGGAGACTGCAGCATGTGGTGCCACCCAGAATGGGGGCTTTCCAAGAACTTGCCAAGAAGTCATCTCAGACTCCCTACTGCTTACTAGCTTTCAAGAGTTTGGGGTTTGAGAAGGTCACAAAAGGTTACTCTAGGGGCATAAATAAACTGTCCAGCATTTCCAGGCTGCCCTTGCCATGGGTGTATTTCCTGGGGCCAGGAAACAGTTCATGGAAAAAGATGCAGGAAGCCTCTGCCTTAGAGGAGGACTATCTGCAGGCGACGAACCATCAGGTTAGTCCTAGAGAATGTGGACAAGGCATCTGCAGTGTTTGCTATGAAAGTATTCAAGAAGGACTGCACGAAGGGGATGCTTTCCATCCATCTTCTGCACCCTAAAAATTGTCCCTGGACTAAGTTAACTTTGGCAAGAGCAAACCAACTATCTATTGTTGTTGTTGTTGTTTGCCATCGAGTCGGCCCCAACTCATAGTGACCCCTCCTTGGGTTTCCAAGGCAGTATCACTACGGAAGTAGGATTGCCCAACCTTCCTTCCGAGGAGTGGCTGGTGGGTTTGAACCGCCAGCCTTCTGGTGAGCAGTCAAGTGCCTTAGGCACTATGCTACCAGAGCTGTCTATGCTACCAGAGCTATCTATAGGGCCCAATTATCTCTGTCTCCTCATAAAAGTTCTTTTATAGAATTGCATGTACCATGATGCTAAATTCCTATATGGAGTTTACTCAGAGACCACACTTATGAAACTTGTCTTTATGGTAACTGAAAGGATGAGGTTGATGCCAGGCCATTACATTATTCAGATCTCTCTCACTCAAGACCCACAGTAAAAATTTCTCTCCTGTCTCAGAAATAGATGTCCTTCCCACACCCTCCTCCTACCAAACCCAGAATTTTGGCTTGCTTTTACTGCCTGGATAGTCTTGTGACTGACTAGGTTTTGTTCTCTCAGTTGATTGTTAGAAAATTCAGAACAAATTCACTCTGCCATGTATAGGACTTTGTAGTATTTATTTTATAAACTTAAGTAGACTCTTGTATCTTTTCTCTAACATTTATGTCAAAAACTAGAGTAATATGTTCCTTTGTGAATTAAGAATTCTATACCCAGCCAACTTGCCCTTGCAGGTAAAATCATGATATTCTCAGATCTATGAAAATTCATAGTCTACTCAGTGTCCTACTTTTGATTTCCCAAAAAGAAGACCCTGGAACAGTGATGTAGATGCAGGTAGTTTATTTTGAGAGGAAGGGTTGATCTCACTCTGTGGTTGTGGAAAGTTGAGAAGGGGAAAGAAGTAAAAAAGTTGCTGCAGTGGGCAACCCAGCCTGCCCTTCTGTGGATCCTCTGAGAGATTGTGTGGAATACACTTCAGAACATTCCTCTGAGAGGTGAGGAAGCTGCTGGAGGATTTATCTGCCAACTCTCACTGCATTCATTGGGAGTTACTCTAGAGGCATAAACTGTCCAACGTTTCTCGCCTGCCCTTGCTATGAGCATACTTCCAGGAAGCAGTTCACGGAAAGAGATGCAGAAAGCTTCTGGTTTAGAAGGGGACTTTTCTGCAGGTGACCAACCCTTGGATTAGGCCTAGAGAATATAGGCAAGACATCTATAGTGTTTGCTATACTAACCATGAAAGCTTCCTGATATTCAAGAATATATCATTTGTTAAATAAAAAGTATATTCAATAAAAAGTATAAACATAGAATTAAGCAAAAACAATTTTACAAATATTTAAAATAGCAAATGTAAAAAACATTATTACCATAGTAAATACATAATTTAAAAGAGTAATAGTAAAAAAATAAGCCTATATCTCAGTTATACCAATAAAAAATTGAGAGGAAACCTGATATTGTCACTCCTCCTGCTTCACATTCTTCAGGATGTAGTTCAGACTCCTCAGCTGTTCAAGTCAGGCCATGCTGAGCCTGGCTCTCCCTACCTCCTTTCTTCCCAGGCGCATTACTCACCATTCTTCCACATCCACACTTGGATTCAGTCATAATTTATTACTAAAGCTGCCTTTATCCAGGAACTCTCTTTCCCTGTTTTGTTTAAAGAACTAGTATGCCATCAAATCTCAGCTCAGTTGTCACCTATCTAGGCTCCTAAACTTGCTGTACAGGACCTATCCCTTAGGAATGGATGGATGATTATCCCTCTTGTCCAAAGTCACAAGGCAATTCATGATTCAGGCCTCCAAGATTTCCAACCTTTTGTGTCATTACACAATCAAGTTAAGATACGAGCTGCTGAAACTGCACAAAAAAGTTTCCCCTGAGTCTGCTTTCATCAGTTTATTCTGGTCTTTCTTTTAAGGGGAAGCTGCTTATAAAAATGTAGGGTGCACATAGATGGTCATCTTCTCACTCTTGCCTAAAGAAAGTCAACTTGAAAACATTCTATAAAATAGGACTTAATTTGTTGGTGGTTGTCCTGCTGTCTGGCTGCATGTGCTGTTCGACCAGAGCTCAACACATAATGGCCAAAAGCTGGGGTGTAGCAAAGGACAGATCTGATGTACCAGGTTCCCTGCCAGACAAGAAACTTGGGACTTCCTTGACTTCACTACAAAGTATGATTGTTATGGGGTCTGCTGTGGGAGCGGTGAGAGAGACCACCCCTTTGGGGTTAGTTGCTAGAAGGGAGAACAAGAAAGAATGAAAAGAACACCATTTGGAGTTGTGACATTGCATCACACAATTCCAGGGTTACCATTCATACTGGATTCTGTGTGAACAACACCCCCAGAGCACAGCTCTACAGGATATAATGTGAATGTTGGCCCTTAGAGTTGAATAGCCACATGGCCCTGGAGTCAACACAAAGTCTTATTTTGACTCTTGCTGTGGTGCTACCTAGCACAAAGGGCTCTGGATTTTCTTTGACGGTATGAAACAGGAATAGATTTGTTTGGACAGTGAACCTGCTAAGTGTCAGGAACCCTACCAGCCTTTAGGAGATATAAAGATGAAAGATCTGGTCCCTGCTGGTGTCTGCTGGTGCCAATATTGCAGAGACAACAGCTCAGGTGGGTGGGTCACTTTATTTGATTGGTGAAGAAGGGAACTTGGCTGAAGCCAAGAGAACAGAGGAGACAAAAGGAAGGAGGCAAAGGGATAAAAAAAAAAGGGGGGGGGATGCTTAGCAACATGGAAAGAAGCTGTCCATGGGGAACAAAGGGCCAGTAACATGCCTAGTCATAGGGTGACCTGAGGACATCATAGGTATACTGATGCTGTATTTTATGCTGAAGTTGTTTGTCAGTTAAGGCTCCTGCACTCATGGATGTCTCATGTGATCAAAAGTATATGTGTGTGTCTGTGTGAGAGAGAGTGTGTGTGTTTGTCTAAATCAAAGAAAGGACTTGGTTCATGTGTACATCTTCATTGTACTGACCATATGGCACGTATGGAGCAGACATGGCCATGAAAGTGTAAGCTTCAAGCCAGGTTTCCCTCAATCTTCCGGGTGTGAGAGGGCTCCCATCTGACCTTTGGGTCAGTTGGGTACCAAGGGGGAGGTGGCAGCTTACCATGGAGTTACATAGGAGGCTGAGCTGAGAAAGAAGGGAGAATAGGGACAGGCTCCCTGACCTCCTGTCTTCCTCACAGTGTGAGATGCTACTACTTGATTTGGGTCTCCCAGCTGTGGACCCTCAAGGACTTGAGGGCAATTAATTTATTTGAGAGGTGCAGGAAACACTGGTAGGGAGGTAGGGAATTGATACAGGGAAGGGGCAAGAGCTAATGAAGAGTGCTCTGTTAAACCAGCTACCACAGCAGATAATGAAGCTTAATCTCACAGGGCAACTCCAGGAAACACTGCAAAACACTCAGTGGTGAGGGTATCAGGGATTTACACACAACTTCCCTGAAAGTCATTGGTTGAAGGCTTTTGGGGCATTCATTCCTCAGTACTTGCATCCTGCCATATGCATGACCAGAGTGGCCTATGTGGTTTTGGGGGTGGGGAGGGGAAATGCCTTCAGGGGCACAGGTGCAAACACTATCACTTGTAAGTGGTCTTGGAACACCTTGAAAGATACAAGGGAGGTGGGCACACCACCACCACCCCCAGCATCTGCTA